ATTTTTTAAAACATCTATTTTTCAGTTTCATCTCACATCATTTGATTTAATTTAATTTTCATGTCAAATTTGATCCCTTTTCTTTTAATGTTTTTGCCTTGGTTCCTTTTTGGAAATTAATTTTGTTTTTTTTTAATTTCATCTTTCAATATCTAAATTGTCTAGGATTGGCCTTATTTAATCATTTCAGTATAGTGGTCATAGTTTTATAACCTATATTGTGAGGATGAAATTTTAACCCTAATTGATATTGAGTTTTTTATACTAATTTTATTTTTTGATATAGTTTGTTGAAAATTAAGCTTTTTTTTTTTGTTTTGCACTTTCTATGACAATAACCTGGCTTTGCAATCTAGGTTACACATAATTATTTTTACTTTAAAACATTCTAACATTGCTTTTAACATTATTTTTTAGGTTACTCGCGGCAAAGCATAGGGTAAGTATCTAGTGGATTACAATGTTGTATTTTTCTCCCTTCTTTGTATCATTGTTTTAATTGAGTGTTTTCGAATCGGCACAACAGGTTCTTGCTTTCCTCTATTTATTTATGAGAATTTTCTGGTTTGTATTGCTGTGATAGATGGACTAATTGATTAATTATCTAAGTTTGGTGATGATTGCAACGTTAAAATACTTCAGGGACTGAGTTGACATCTGGACGAGACGTTGAGTTCTCCATGGCCTAAGATGTTTTCTTCTCTTTTTTTATTTTTAAACGCTCTCAAAGTTAAAAATACTTTGGATCAACAGCGTGGTGTCCACGCGGCCTTCATAAATGACAGTACACTATCTTTTATTTTTTATTTGTTTTTAAGAAGACGCTCCGGACTATTATTTCCTTTTAATGCAAGACGTCTCTATAAAAGCTCATGTATACTTATATGCACGTGTGTGTATTTTATTATTTAATTTTTATGATTGATTGTTGGTGTTTTATTTTTTTTATTGGAGTGAAAACAAACAAATTTTATGTTTTATGTTTTCATATTTGATTTTTGAAAACATAAAGTAAGAAACCAGAATTATCACATTTGATTTTTGAAAACATAAAGTAAGAAACCAGAATTATAAAAAACAACCCCTAAATTATTTGGATTTTATTGTTTTTGTTACTTGAGATAGATTGGGAGTGGAAGTGAAGCAGAATGAGAAATTTCTAAAATAACAGTCTTTTTTCCTTTTAAAACTTTCTTTTATATATTATCAAAACTGCATAATAAATTCTTAATTTTCATTTATTTATTTCTCTAAATTTTAGAAGAATTTTATTTTGTAATGCTTTACTTAAGTAAATACTGATTGAAAATCTAATTGGCTTGTTATCTAATCCTAGTGAAAATAGCGTATTATTAGGAGATGTTTAGCATTGCGGTCTATTAATATTTTAAAAAATATATTTTATTTTTAAATATTTTACTGTGTTTTTAAATTTTTCTGATATTTAATATAAACAAATATTATTTTAATACATTATTAACTGAAAAAACTAAAACTTCTAACATGCAGTTGGTGTACTTACAAGGAAATATCTGAACGAGGGGTTGCGTTCTCCATGACGCAAGACGTTCGGTTTAAAGAGCACAAAGGAGAAGGAAAAGGGCGTGGACGTCTTTGAAGACGTCCCTTACTCTATGCTTCTGGGAAAGGTCCTAACAATTGAGAGAGAGAGAGAGAGATGAATATAAATATTAGAAGGCAACTCAATTCCAAAAACAGCAGCAGCAGCACCACAACTTTCTTTGAGTCCTAGCCTTGAAAAACGTCTCATAGAAGAAGAGAACAGTAAAGGAAATGGATGATCACCCTATGCCACATCTGGGATTTGAAATTGAAAGGTATGTTTGAAGCTCTTTGCCTTGGTTTATTCTCTATCTGTCAACATTTTAATTTCTTTTCTCTAGAGTTTTGCACCTTCATTTTAATTTTATTTTCTTATTGAAGACTTCACTCACTTCAATAGTACTATTTATCTTCTTGCATATTCATATTGGTGCTCCAGTTTCATGACAAAATTACCAAGTTCTGGCTCATGGCAGTGCTTGCCATTTCCCCTGTTCAATTTCTGGGCAATAGGAAATCATTCTGTCCAAATTAAGGAGCAAATATTTAATACTATTTATCATCTACATAAATCGCTGTTCTGCTATAAAAAATACCTAAAGATTACTTAAACAAAAACCCTATTTTGGCATCCTAATTTTAATTTTGTTGTGATGGCAGCATCATCACGCAGCTTGGCATTTTTGCTTTCCTAGTCAACACACTAAATGGTCAGATCCAGGTGAGGTACAAATCCATCATGAGAGCATCTCCGTTTGACACACACGAGGGGGTCATGCTCGCGTTCTTAATTGCTCTCTTTATTGACGCCACCGCATCAGTGGCCGAGATCATGCTCCGAGCTCGTGAATCAATCTACCATCCTTTATTTAGCTATATCCGCTTGCTTGCTAGCGGCTTCGCCACGATTTTGCTTCTGGTTATTCTTCACCCCGTGTTGGGGTATATCATCTCTGTCCTATGGGGTTGCTTATTTGCGAGAGTGCCGTATGAATCATGGAAAGAGTTGCAGGAGTTACCTCCCAGCTCAATTGGGACACAGCTTGTGGACCAAGCTGGTTGGAGTCTTGGGATACCACAATGAGGAAGAACCAGATCAAGCTATTCGCCCAACCGTGTAAAGTCCCAGTTAGCACTTTGTTGTTTTTGCATTTCGAAATACCTTAGCTTTTATTGTACATTGTAATCATGTCTTGATTATATGCGGAATGAAGAACAGGGCAGAGAGATAATCTCCTCTTTTTTTATTATTAGACTTACGCAAAGTTTAAGGAGATTTGACTTTAATTCAGAGAGTTTTGCTTGTCAAATCAAAGTGTACCTCACCCTTTACAAGTAATTGATGCTTCAGGAACAGTTTTCAAAAAAACAGTTTATCTGCATGTTTGGTTACTGAGAAAATGAAGCAGAGGAAATATTCGGTTTAGCCGGTTTAGAAATCATTGGTCCCCTCACAGGTAGCAACAAGCTATCAAGGAACGCTCCAATCAGCAAAACAAGAAATCATGATGGTAAATAGATCTCAGCGTGTAAGAATTTTATCTCCATTTCATTGTTAGATGCAGGAAGATAACGCAGTAAAATCAATAACATCATTGATCCACAATTAAAAATAAAATTAAAATCAAATAAGAAGAAAACAGAAAGAGAAAGAGCATCTCAGAGAAATCTGTCCCCATGATTTTCTTCACTGTAAAATCAAAGTGCAAGGATAACGATTTGGCTAACTCATCACTGATGCTCGTCTAAACAAATGTGAACAATTGAAAGCACTCAAACGAAAATCTTGTTGATTAGTCGCATACAAATATATAAGATACCTTCTTCCAGTTCAGCTGTTGCTAGAACAAAACCCTATAATTTATTAGCGAGGCATGCCCGCTGCCGTGCTTTTAAAGGCGGCTAGGTTTAGGTTTTAAGCTTGGAGTGTGTTTGGTATGAGAGTTAGTCTATCCCGTGCTCCAGCTGAGATCACCCCGCGCAAGCATGCATACATGCCAAAACTCCTGGGCGATATTTATTTTATTTCTAGCAGGAAAAATTGGAGATTTAATCATTGTTAATGGCATTTAAATGTATAAACACGCACTCACATCAAGATCAAAACAATTTAGAATATTTATATAATTTAATTAAACATAAATAAATATCTTATCACCTAGTTAATGGTGGGATTCAAATTGGAAACCACAAGTTGAAAAAATGTTATTTTTACAACATTAATCAACCCAATGAGACAATGAAATAATTTGCTTAAATAACAATTTGATCTGAGAAAATGTTACGTGCAATCTCTAATGTGCATTTTGTACGTGCGTTGATATTTTATTTTTTTCATTGGATTTATTACGAATAAATATTATACTTGCAATTATAGATGATATATAATATATATAGAAAAGGAGAGTTATGTTTGCTAAGATTAGACGGCCACTAAAACACACATAAGCCAGCTCAAAATAGGTGTCATTATCTTATAAATAAATTTTATATTATTTTAGGAGTAGTTGCTTGACAGGAAAGATAGATAGAGAGTTAGAAGATAAAATTAAAAAAATTTCACCCTAAAAATAAAAATATACATATATAAAAAAAATAAAAAATAATTGTTTGAATGAATGGCAACTAACAATTCATTTGCTAACATTTTTTAAGATGTTTGGGAGTGAGTTTCAACTTGTTTTTTTTGTTAAAATTTGAATTTTATTTTTAAATTTTTTAATGTTTTTTGCATCATTTTAATATGTTGATAATAAATATAATTTTTTAAAAATAATAAATAATATTATTTAAATTTTTTTTAAATAAAAAAATATTTTAAAAAACAAACATTACTACATTTTAAAACACTCTTTTTAACATAGGAGGGGAACGAGGCCAACTCTTTCTAACACAAAAACCATATTAATTTATTAAGAATAAAGTTATACATTAAAATCATATTTTTTTGTTTTTAAAAATTTATTTTTTAATATTATTATATCAAAAAATACAAATACATAAAAATAAAATTAATTTTAAGCATAAAAATTATTTTTTTATAAAATAAGGTTTAGATTGTGTTTTCAAACAAAATTTATATATCAATTAAAAGTTTATTTGGTATTATGTTAATGCATCTGAAAATGTTAAAATAATATAAAAAATTAAAAAATTAATTTGAAAAAAAAATATATTTATTAAAACCAAAAAAATAAACATATTGTTAAGGTACCAGAGAAAAACAAAAAGTGTTAACATCCAGCTGTGTCCTCTCGAATTTTGAATTTCAAAAATCTAAATGGCGTGGCATCGCATCCAGCTCAAATCTCCATTCTTAACGTTACAACCCACATTCACTCACGCTCCAATTCAAAACCAACCCCTTTCACTCCTCACCGTTCATACCCAAACCCACTTCCAACCGTTCGATATATCTTCCTATAAAAGCTCCCCCCTGTCCCTACACCCTCCCCTCTCTCTCTCTCTTTCATTCTCTCCATTTCCTCTGCCGAAATAAAATAAAATATAAACTCCTTCCTAATTCTTCAAGATGCGTGAGATTCTTCACATCCAAGGAGGCCAATGCGGCAATCAAATTGGTGCAAAATTCTGGGAGGTGGTTTGCGCAGAACACGGAATTGATGCAACTGGGAAATCCAATGGAGATTCTGAGCAGCAGCTTGAAAGGATCAATGTTTATTACAACGAGGCAGGTAATGGCCGGTATGTTCCAAGGGCTGTCCTTATGGACCTTGAACCTGGTACTATGGATAGTGTCAGGTCTGGTCCTTATGGCCAGATCTTCAGACCTGATAATTTTGTTTTCGGACAATCTGGTGCCGGAAACAACTGGGCTAAAGGCCATTACACCGAGGGTGCCGAGTTGATTGATTCTGTCCTCGATGTTGTCCGAAAAGAAGCAGAGAATTGTGATTGCTTGCAGGGTTGGTATTTCTTTCTGTCTTTCTTTTTGAAATGGAAATTTGGTTTTGGTCTTGTTACTAAGGTGGGGTGGGGTTTGTTGGATTTGCAGGATTTCAGGTGTGCCATTCTTTAGGAGGAGGGACCGGATCCGGTATGGGAACTCTTTTGATATCGAAGATCAGAGAGGAATATCCAGACCGGATGATGCTTACCTTCTCCGTCTTTCCCTCTCCCAAGGTTTCTGATACGGTTGTTGAGCCTTATAATGCAACCCTTTCTGTGCATCAGCTTGTTGAAAATGCAGATGAATGTATGGTCCTCGATAATGAAGCTCTCTATGACATCTGCTTCCGAACCCTCAAACTCACCACTCCAAGCTGTAAGAACTTTGATGTTCATATGTTTTTAGCTAGGGATTTTAATGTCTTTCATGTTTTTGTTATTGATTTCACTGTTCTGTTCGGCGCAGTTGGTGATTTGAATCATTTGATTTCTGCTACAATGTCTGGGGTCACATGTTGCCTGAGATTTCCAGGACAGCTTAACTCTGACCTGAGAAAGCTTGCTGTGAATCTGATCCCCTTCCCTCGGCTCCATTTCTTCATGGTGGGTTTTGCTCCTCTGACCTCACGTGGTTCGCAGCAGTACAGTGCCTTGACTGTCCCAGAGCTCACCCAGCAAATGTGGGATGCAAAGAACATGATGTGTGCAGCAGACCCGCGCCACGGTCGGTATCTGACAGCCTCAGCAATGTTCAGGGGCAAAATGAGCACCAAGGAAGTTGATGAGCAGATGATCAATGTTCAAAACAAGAACTCTTCATACTTTGTTGAATGGATCCCAAACAATGTCAAATCAACTGTTTGTGATATTCCTCCTACAGGACTGAAAATGGCATCGACATTCATTGGAAACTCGACATCAATTCAGGAAATGTTCCGTCGAGTGAGCGAGCAGTTTACTGCCATGTTTAGGAGGAAGGCTTTCTTGCATTGGTACACTGGGGAAGGAATGGATGAGATGGAGTTCACAGAGGCAGAGAGCAACATGAATGATTTGGTTTCTGAGTATCAGCAGTACCAAGATGCCACAGCCGATGAGGACTACGAGGATGAAGAGGAGGAACTCCATGACATGTGATCTTGATCCATGTTACTATGTTGAATGAAAATGCTTGGAGTTGGGTTGTGATTGAGGTAGTGGACGTTGAAAGAAATGCAAGCCAACATTCTGCTGTCAGTCTCTGGCAACAGAATGGATGATTCCAGGCAGATGGAGGCCATTTTATTGTCATACATATAAATGTTTGTAGTTTTGGTACTTTCTTTCTTTCTTGGGTTTTCAGAAGGGAGGGAACAAGGATTGTCAAACAAGTACTCTTATATGCGGATACAATTAGAGATGTTAATCTAGCATTAACATCTCTTCTTCAATTAACTGTTGCATTCTAATTATGTTATTATTTCTCTCTAAAGTAACTACACGATGCCTGTTCCTCAAGTGATTGATAACTTAAACTTCATTTGCCATTATACATCAATGATACAGCATTGGACAATGTTGCTTATGGCCACAAAACATTATGCAATCATGTTAATAAAACTTTCCTCAATATAAGGAAGCCTGGAAAGCTAAGCTCAACTATGTACACGAATGGAAAGAAACGAGACGGCTTCTCCGAGCTTAGAGAGTATCTGGGGATCATTCTATTTTCAGCTCTCTCATGAAACTGCACCTCCACTGTACTTCCACTCCAGCTGATGGCACTAGAAATTAAACCTCTGAAGAGAGAAAAAAAAAGGGTTGAACTGTAGCAGCTATCAAAGATGAAACGGAGTCTACAATAGCATCGGCCTTGAAGAGAAGCCGAATAAGAAACTTGGAAGTTTTGCAGAGATTCACAGATTACTTTTAGCAAGTTCCCGGGCTGTATAACGTTCTGGTCACCTTTAGAACAAAACCTAAAGGTTACAATTTTATCAATAACCACTTAAAACTCAGAGAAAAGGGCTTTCAAGTAAGGAATGTAATCAAACCCACCGCAACATAGAGTTTTGAGAATAAGGGCTGAAACTGATTCAGAGTTCTGAAGTTAAACACCAATGCTCCCATCACGGGACAGTGTAACAAAAAAAAACACATTTGGTCAATCGTTCATGGTACAACAAAGGCTAGAAAATCTGTGAAAAGCAGCATGAAAAGGCCAGGAATTTACACAAAAAATCCAACACAACCCAGCACCTCGCTTCTTACATCCACGGTTGCCCCCTCACAGATACTCTTGCCCTCAGAATTATGCAGGTGGGAAAAACACTCCTCTCGCACCAACGGATGCCCCTGATGTCAAAGATCGTCGATTGATGTAACACAAACAATTCTCCCGGTAGTCCACTAGCAGGTACGAAAGAGCACTGCAACATTCTCATATGACAACTATTCTGAAATACCACAGGTTTCACAGTTTTAGCAAAAGTTAACAGAATACCCCTGCTTCCCATTAACATTTCTCAAACATAGTAAAACGCCTGCCTTCAGCCAAACTTAAATCCGGCACCAGTTCATACCGTATCTAGAGATAAAATGCTATGTTGAGAAAAATCTCAACTCAGTAAAACACCACAGCTATTGACCATCAGGTTATCATTCACAATTCCCACTTTTCACTCATTAAAAATGATAATTAATTGCAAGCTTTGGGTATGATTTTCACCATGTACATAAACTTAGTCTAGCACCAACTGCCGGTATTTAAATCACTATTAGGATCATAATTATAGAATACTATTGAACAAGAATGACTACAGTAGCATGTGCCTTTGCAGTTTGATAGTTTGCTTTGTTATGCTAAAAGGCAATGACAATCCAGTGGTCTTGCGCATCTTTGTTCACTGTTAGAAAATTTGGAACATTGAGCAAAGCAAGTAAAAAGATATGAAAGTTGATTATAGAATGAATTAGATAAGTGGGATAGACGAAGCACATACTAGGTTATAAACATAATAAAGGCTAGATTACGCAAGTGAAAATGGCTTCACAAAATGAATTAATGCAAACCATCACATCAATTCAAAGTTAATTTCAGTGCTCCCGTAATTAGACAATATGCCACAAACTACATTTAGATAATTAACTATCAGTTACAAAAAACACAATAAAACCTGCTAAAACAATTACCAAAAAAAAAAAGAACAGGGATTTACAACACAGCCTCCAACAGATCTAAGCTCAAGCACCTAATGCTTGCCATCTTCGATGGCTTTATCTACAATAACTTTGACTTTCTTGTATTCGAAATCCACTGGGGGGACAGAACACTCTTCTGGCATCACAGGGCGCCTATTGCCAAAAATGGTCCAAAGATACAACACCATGAACGCCCCCAGTGCTCCACAAGCAGTTCCAAAGATCATTGCAGTAAGCATTTTTAAAATACAATTACTCTTCTTCTGAACCACCACTGGTTTCTCATGTTTAGCAAAATCCTGAGGGTCCAGTGGCTGAGAATGCATCCAAAGCGGGACTCGCCTTAGCGTAAAGTTCCATGAATGGAGGAAACATGTCTGGGAAGAATTACCATTTGATGAGGTCAAGCCTATCAACACTTTCTCACCATTCCACATTTTTGACAGGTCAATTGGGTGAGAGAGCAATGGGTCAATTGGCTTTATATCACCAGAATGACTCAATCTAACCTCTAATCTTTTCGAACCAGCTTCGTAATCAATCCAAGAATGCAATCTTTTTCCACTATTCAACACCATATTATTAGATGAAACGTTTCTCACTTTAACTGATACAAAACCACCCACATCAATTCCCACATGGTTATCATTCAAATCACCAAACTTAGCATCCCTCATCGTATCAAATTCAACAGCAACAAATTTAGGACTACTTTTCTCGGATCCTAAATAAAGCCCAAATGGGCTGTTACCAAACACGCTTGCATTAAAACCACTAGGAACCACAACAAAAGCTAAACCATCTCCATTATCAGGTGACATCAAGAATGAGAAATAAGTGGAAAAGGAAACCAAATTTCCAGGATTACCTTCAACAAGCTTGATGGGTTGCTTGTACATGACTCTTCCAGCACTTAAGCTCACAGGGCGAGTGAGTTGAAGAGAAGAACTATTACCAACAACCTTTGCATCACCATAAAGAGCAATGCTGGACTCAAAGTTCGGATCTTTATCAAAACTTCCAAATGAAAAGGAGTAACTTGAGACAGCATGTAGCATTTTCAAGTGGAAAATCATGTAACTTAACACTGTTAAGCAGGTAGAAATGGAGAGCTTGGCCATGGCTAAAGTGGGTTTCGTAAGCTGAATCTGGGTTTGCTTGGAGTAAGATTTCTAGGGTTTGTGAGGTGAACCCATTTACAAGTAGGTGACTATTTTTTATTATTGTTAGTTGTTGTTATCGTTGTTGTTTGTAGAATGTAGAAACCAAAGAAGGGAGGTAAAGAATATGCGGAAGGTGAGCTTGGAGGTTGTGAAAATTAAATACGTTTACTCCCTTCTGAAACCCTCTGACTCGCTTTCTCTGAGCGGATGCTGAGTGAGGAAACATTAAATTATTAATATTATAGAGTGAGCTTATTTTGCATCCATACCCCTTGATTTAACTGATTTGCAAATGTACACGAAATCTTTTTGGTTATTCGCATTCCCATCATTCAATGCAAGTTCTGATAGGCAATCAAATACCAATGGATGGATTAAAATCCGTACCATAATCACTTCTCTTTCGTTGGGAGCGTAATTCCTTCCTTTTAGTATTTGGTGAGAAGCATAATGTCATAGGTCGCATAAGATTCTACTACTACATCATTTAGTGTAGATCCTCCACCTATGTCTAATGAATGGATGGATTAAAAACAAGTTTTAGAAAACTCAATTAAAAGTTTAGATTTCTTACTACTCAATTCTAGTAATAATAATTATTACAACTTTCTGGTCACAAAATTATAGACCCTATAAGATAAAAAAATTAATAAACTAACTCTCTCTTTTTTGATTGCTTTTAAAAATACTTTTCGATGCAAAACTTATTAAAAATAACTTAATTCATGCTATGATAATGAAATGGGATAATTGTAAAAATGCTTTATAGTTTGATTTTGAATTTTATTTTTTCTTTGTATTTTTAAAAATTATGTTTTTTATCATGTAGTTTATATGTTCAATAATAGTTTGCATGTTTAATAATATGTTTGATTTGAATTTTTTATTTAGTCTAGGATGTAAATGTAATTTATAAAAGTATAAAAAAAATGAAGTTTAGATCAAACTATTAAAGGGTTTTTGTAATTATCTCCAATGAAATTAAAAATATATATATCACATTCCAAGTATAAAATGAAATATGAAACCCTACATTTCAACTGCCAAAAAATACAAAGTCAAATTAAATAGAGCTTGTTTGATATTATAGTATTACTAATTATTTGTTAAAGTATTTTTTAATTATAAATATTGTAAAATAATATTTTTTTTATTTTTTTACATTTATTTTTTACATCAACACACTAGAATATAGTTTTAAAACCTGATCTGGCTGAGTTGGTAAACCCTAAACCCAACTTACCCAAGATTGAAACCGAAACAAATTTAAAAAAAATAAAAAAAGTCTAAAGGCTAAGTGATCTGAAAAGTTAATTTGATAAATTCGAGTTAAAAATCCTATTATAATATATGGACTATTTATTTATTTATTTTTAATCAAAATAATATTATTTTAATTTATTAAAAAAATAAAATTAATTTAGTAATTTAAGATTTAAGCTGGCTCAATTACTAAATTGGATTTAAAAACAGTACACTAAAATGATATAAAAATAAATAAAATCAAATATGTGCACAAGTAATCTACCGCAGTGCCCAGAAGACACGAATTGTTTGCGTGGGGACAGAACTAATGTGGTAAGAGATGAAATTAATGAGAAATAGAGGTGGGCATTCGTAAATAAAACAACTAAAGTAAGGAATCCAGTTGTCAAACACCTTAATGAATTCAAAGATAGACTTCAACTGTACTCTCAAGTGCTTCCACGCACTTTTGTCTTTCCCTGAGCTGACTTCGAAAAGAGCACTTGGACCGACCGGCTAGCGAGTTGCTTACACCTTACCCTGTTTCTCTTCCAAAGCAAAACCCACTTCTTTATTTCTACGAGTCCTTTCCTTTTCCTTTTCCTTTTTGAATATCTCTTCTTTTTTTATATTTTTTATTTCTTGTTGATAAAAGGCCAAGAATAAGAAAATAAAAAAGGCCAGGGATTCCCCATCTCACAGGACCACTAACCTGCGCAGTGGGTGGTAATACATCAACCTCGTTGGCTTTAATCCGACATGTAAAAACATACCTAGAATGAGAGAAAAGATAATGGGTAGTGGCTGCTTTAGCAAACTCTTTTCAGGGAAAAACTAATATGCGCGTGCTCCATTGTCTTCTTGGTAAAAAATAAAGTAGGAAAGAGCCACTTAGTAGAGGAATATACAGTCCAAATACCATTAAACTAAGTGGTTCTGCTTGGAGAACCTTCGGCTATGGCTGTTGTCCATCTTTGAACGGAGTTTTTTTTCTTTTTTTTTTTTGTGTGTGCGTGTGTTGTTCTTACTGTACATCCTCACTAGCTTGGACAAAGCACTCAATTCACCGTAAAAAGGCTTGGCCTTATATTATGGCTTGTTTGGCGAAGGGCCACGTACTCTCCTCTGTTGGAATAAAGTTGATGCTGAGATGCCATTTATCACGACTCCAGTGCTCGTGGGTCACCTTTTGATGGGTGAAATTCTCTTTGTGTACGTTTAAGATTGGCTAGCTACCTGGGAATATATATATATATATATATATGAACACTTACCTAGCTCATGCAGTTTCCGTTACCATAAAAGGACTTGCTAGCAGGCATTCTGAGCACTGGATCTACGCTAAACTATTGGTATTTCCTCAATGATCATGAAGGAATTTTCCAAACATATAATAACGTATCTATTCATGAATGATGTAGAGCTGTTTTTTGAAATTTTATCTAATATTTTAAGGTTTTTAACTTGGTAGATTTTTGCTTTTTCATGTAACCAGAGTAATTGTGTTATAATGGACCTTGTAGAATTGTTTCCAAGGACTTTTAAATAAATAATTGTAAAATAGGTCGGCTTATCCGATTGAATCTAACGTGGATCCACCATTATAGTTTGGCCGTTTTACAAAGGATTAAAATATATTTTTATTTTTAATATTAATATATTAAAATACTATTAATTTAAATTATTTTAAAATTTTAAAATTTTAAAAAAATTCACTTCAACTGCACTTATAAACAACACTAAATGGATGCAAAATGAAGGCAAGCTGGAATTCCAGATTTCATTGTGCAATATTGTTTTCCGAGTTCAAAATATTGTATGTTTAAAATTTAAAATTTTTATTTAAA